TTAATTAATTTTCATTATAGACAGCTTTATAAAAGTATAAAAGCTCTCATAAAGTATTTTTCTGAGGTCTGTCTTATCAGGTAAATTACTGTACACAGTGTATTCATTAATTTTCATTTTCATGTAGTAAAGGCTCTATGCCTTCATAAAGGACGTACTTTTCCTTTGTTTAAGGGTATTTGGGCAGTTTATTCTCTGTTGTATTCTCAAGCAAACAATACATACAAGTACAGTACAGTATTTTCTGAGGAAACAGGCATACTTATCCTTTTTTAACCCCATTCCTGATAACCCGGCATTTTCACAAACTCAGCCACCCTTCGGTCCACATTAGGCCGAGTTTTCGAGGTTCTACTGTATTATGTTTCAATTGATTTTATTTTTAATTTCAGTTTCAATTTTGGTGTAAAAGCCAGAGTTTTAATTATTATTTCATTATTTTTACTTTTAATTAACTGGCTATCTAGTATTAATAAATATTAATATTATAATTAATATTACTTTTTGTTATTTAATTTGAGTTTTAACCTTTAAACACACATTCATAGATGTCATTTTTATATTATGCAAATGTCAATTAACATAGTTTTTATTAATTAATTTTATTTAAATTCAGTTGCAACAAATACAAATAAACGGATATACTGCAGTATCTTACTTGGATGTACATTGAAATCTAATTTGATTAACATCATTATCAATGGTTTGTGTCTTGGCATCTAATGATGCAAGGTGAATTTTGGCACCACTAACTTCTGAATCTGTAGTCCTGTCATTGTTTGGTTGGACTGTTAATCTTTTTTAACATAGGAAGTATAGGGAGTTGATCATCTGCCTCTAATCTGTGGTCGGCTCTTGCCAAATAGCTTCTTTGGCAACCAGGGCAAATATGGTGTTCAAAATATTATTCGTGAACTGAATTGTTCAAAAAGCAAGGCATTCAAAATTTGAGGTTTGACTGTATTTGAATTATAAAAAGTACTCAATATTTAAGATCTTGAATATTACATTGATAAAAAAAAGTAAATTTGAATACTATAAATACTTCCAATAGTGTGTCATATGTACAATCAGTGTGGCAGATTCAGAAGTATCCAAAAGGAGAGTGGCTAATTCGAAAATTTAAAATGCTTGATTATGTATCTTTTATTAACATGTGCACAACAATTTTATTGCGGATGATCTGATAAACCATATTTTCTATAAAAAAATTTTTGGTCATATGGTATCTTCTAGTTTTGTCATTAACAGATACAGTAGTGAATACAAGAAGATACCAATTAAATCAGATAGTGCCTCTTTAGTACCTCTGATTTAATTTGTAACAAAAAAAAAAAAGAAGCAGACTAGATCCTAAACATTTTTGAATTCTTGTTTTTCAAAATAAAAATCTACAGTAAGTGAGAATGAGAATAATTACTTGTTAACCTATTGAAGTTGAGATAAAAGTAGCTAAAAAAAATAAATAATAAGTCAATAAGCTACTTTGAAACTCAAACACGAGTTTGAAGTTTAATTTTTTTAAATTTAGTAAATTGTTTTCCGTTTTCAATTTTTGTTTTAATTTATTAATATATTGAAATAATTAAAGCAATTTAAATATTAAATAAATTATTAATTAATGAATTTAATTACCTTATATAATTTAAGTATTTGGAGTATTCGGATATTAGAATATTTGAGATCTGGTTAATATTTGAATTCAAAAAAAGTGATATTTGTCCATCTCTAATTACATGAATAGCTGGTCATTCACATCATTGTCACATTTTGTTGGACAATAATGTGAATGGACAGGGTACGAATGTCATTCACTACTCTGGTGGGCAATATTGGCAATGCATTAAAACAAGATGACAACTCTCTGCTTGGGTAGTGGTGTGAATAGACATGGCAGCCATTGCACTGAATGTAATGTATACTCCTTCCAACTTGACAGTTGTCAAAACAGACTAATCCACTTTTTGTCACATTATAGGGGAGGATACGCAGAAATGAAAAGGGTTGCCAATAAACAGTTAATTATTTTCAGCTGTTTAGTGAAGTTTGTTTACACATCATATCATTACTGTATATTTTTGTAAGCTGTCAATAGATATCAGTTGCTGATATTCACTGTGCCCACAAAAAAAACCATGTAATCCCTTGGGCTTTTATATGAAAGTAGCTTTTAAGTGGGATCATCACTATGAAGTGAAGTGCTACTAATTCAAAGCATAAGCCATTCTGTGAATGTGCTTTGAATTATATTACTGTGAATGAATTTGGATAGCTGAGAGATAAAAGCATCAGCTTACTAATCTGAGGGACATGGTTTATAGTATAGGTTAAGACATTTTCTTGAAAGAAATTGGTTCAAATATATTTGTGCTCATTCTGTGATAGGCATGGAAAAGGTCATCTCTGCCATGAAATAGTGTTTAAAAAATGATTGTGAATTACTATTATTATAGCTCTCATTGTGTATGCGGTGTGATATTATTTGAGTTTTCAAAAAGTTTGGCATCACAAATAATAGGAACTGTGAACTTACTTTTTAATCATCCTACATAAAATAGTATTTTATTATTAAATTAATTGAATTCTGAAGAAATTAATTGTTAATAAAAATTCTTTGCAGTGTATCATTAAAGTTTGAAAACAACAACAGTAAACATAAGTCAGATAATGTTTTATTTATTAAGAAATGATTTGTATTTTTTATTTTTAAATAGGTATTTTTTATAGATTATGGAAATAAAGAGATTATTCCAAATAAAAGTCATTTGAAAGAAATTGATGCTTTAAGGACTCCTGATCTTTTAACCATTCCTGCCCAAGTATTTGTTATTTAATTTCTTCTGTAGAAAATATTAAATTGCTATGTTTTCTTATAAATCTTGATAATTATTTGACTTTTATATTCTTACTATATAGGCATTTGAATGTGCTTTGTGTGAAATTCGACCATCAGTATTAAAAAGTACTGATGGTAAATGGACAGACGAGGCTCGAAGATGGTTTCAGTCAGCCGTGAACGGGCAGGAATTAATAGCAACTGTGAGTGTTTTAAAAGAATAGTATTATACTGCAGTAGATACTCTCTGAATCTATCATATTAAAACTGCATCTATGATAAGCTAACTTCAAATTTATATATAGAGTAAACTTATTATTTATATTGGAAAACAGTGTAATCTCAATTTACTTATTCCTAAAATCTCATATAGATCAAAATCTTTGAAATTGAGACAAGCGTCTTAAGGCCAAAATTAGTATTTTATTCTGGCATAACTTGGTCACTCTCCTCATTTTTGCAAATAAAACTAACTTGCTACAAAACATTTATTTATCTATCAACCAATGATTCTAAATAAAATGAAATAGTCAATTAGGTTGCCCACAATCTAAAGAGAATTGTTATAATGTGAAATGGAAGAAGTGAATATGATGTAAATGTGTAAATTATCAGACATATCTTTATTTAATGGTGAGAAAACAAAAGTTAGTTAAGACAAATAAGTAAGCAGGAAACAAGTAAAATAGCATGAAATGAAATGGCTTTATAATTAATAAAATTACCAATAGAAGGAACTATAATATAGAAATAAATTTCACTGATTTGCACAATTACTTTGAATAGCACTATCTCTAGTAAATGAAGACATAACATGAATGACACAAAGAAAATGGAGACTAAAACTTACAAGACATGTAATCATAGTATGTGGGAATTTTATTCTTTTATTAATTGTTGCTTATTGTGTTGAGTATTTTGTCTCATAAATGGGGAAAGAGAGAGAACAACATGTACAGCTTATTGTATCAAATTTTTGCATATCTAATACTTGTAAATACGAGTCATACTGTATGTGTTGAGATTGAAGTTAAATACCATATCTGATGATAAGTTTCACGTTTAAAACAAAACAGCTTTGAAATAAAGTTTTTTCTTTTTTTATGTATTTATAAACGTTTCTGTTGCATGACATTTATATTCATTTATAATTGAAAATGGATTTTTATTATCTATTTTTCTAAATTAATTAATTTTCAAATGTTTCTAAAAGCTGTAATTCTGCATTCAAAGTACATTGTGTTTTTATTTTATTACTAGCTGCAAGGGCCTGCTTTGCTGGGTTTTTATTTGTTTGTACATTTGTATGTAATATAGTTTTTTTATATATATAAAAGACTGTTTTTCTAAGTAATTTAGAATCTAGCTGTAAGGACCTGCTTCGCTGGGTTTTTATTTGTGGGCAAAAAGTAACAATAGTGAAGATTAAGATAATTACATTATAGCCAATCTTACCCCTTTTCACAGAATGCAAGAATTAGATCCCCCGTTTCCAGACTAATTAGAGACCTTGTCCCGATTCTATTTCTGAACTGTCTCCACGTCCAGTCAAACGAACTATTTTCAACGTTTCTGGAACGTTTACAATCGTTCTATAATCGAACCAATATTAGAATTTTATGTTCTAATTCAAATTCGAATATTGTTTGAATTAAATTCGAACATAAAATTTGAAATAGAAAACAACTTTCAACCACTTTCAAGCCCATATCTCCCACACCCTTATAGCTATCGAGACACAACCACCATTACCAATACCAAGTCTCCATTCATGCACCATAGTGCATGAATGGAGACTTGGAGCTACTACCACATACAAACACCATTCATGTGCGATGTGTAGTTTTGGCTGAAAAGTGAAATATAGGGACACACATGTCCATTTATATATATANAGTATTTTACAATAATTTACAATATATATTAAGATTTTTGTAAAGTATAGCTCCTATAAAGCCCAATTTAGCATAACGTCCAAAGGGCGTTGACAACAGTATTCAACCGCCAAAAGCAAGCATTCATATGTCCTTATTATTTTTAACAGGATAAAATTTATATAGTAGTAACTTCTTTGCAAAACAAGATTGAATATATTATATTAATAATTATATTAGTATAGATACAGGCTGCCAGCCAGATGGCCGAGGCAGTAAAGGATATCAGCTTATCACTGGGGACCCAGGATTGAATCTGAGAAAGGTGAAAAACCCAAGGAATTTTTTGAGCGTGGTTTGTCCTACATATGTTTGGTCCATCCCTCACCACATGATTGCCCATTGTGAGTCTGAAAGAGGCCATCTTGGTGCCCACAGGGCAGGAAGGAGGACGGGGGACACATATGCCTAGATTATGCTAGTTTTATCAGTCTTATTAAGATTTTTTGTTAGGAGTTAATAAGAAATTATATAGAGTTAAACAAATATAAAATGATGTTAAATTTCTCTCAAATGCTTCTATGAAGTTTTTGCTAAAGATATATTTTAAATTTCATGATGAACTCAGGATATTTTTCTTCTAATTTTCAATTAGAGATTCAGACTATGTACAAAAAATTATTTAATTTTTGAGTCAGATACCTAAAGTGAAAGGCTGACGTCTGATCGTTTTTAATTGTAAATTTTACCTATTGTTATTCATTTTTATGAAGTTATTTCTTCAAACCAATGTAAAGGCGACTTCTATGATGTATGAAAAAGGATTAATTGATAGACTCAAAAATTAAATAATTTTTTGTACATAGTCTGAATCTCTATATATTTTAAAATAATAATAAATTTTTGTAATCTAGCAGTGTTTATTTAGAACAGGTTTTCAGCTTTCATAAATGGCCATCATTAGGTTCTAGAACAAAATTATTTAAAATACCAAACTACTTTATAGAAGAACTATGTAACTATCAGTATAAATGTAGTAGTAACAAGACTAAATAAACACTACAGTAGAACCTCGATTATATGGACCTCTATTATCCAGATTTTCGATTATGCAGATTGTTCAAAATAAACAAAAATTTCACAAATTTGCTGATTTGTACTTGGCGAATTACGACACTGTTTATGTACGTGATGGAATGCATAACTTTTTTTGTTTCAACGTCTCACCAAGCACAGTGGTCGTAAACTCTTAAATATATTTTACGTCGTAATAAAAATATAACTTGACATACGTATTTATAAATAATTTATATTCATTTCTATGACTAAGGGCGACATAAGGCTTGGACGATGTGGGCCACCGCCTATGCCTCGCGGTCCGAAGGGCCTTGTGCCTTAAAGGTTTATGTATTACTTAAAAGCCGCAAACGCGACGAAAAAATGTTACTCATCATAAAACGATAACTAGTTTGTCAAATTTTTTTTCATAAAAATGCAGTTTCAACTGCTTTTTATTTTATAAAATCCGTCTTCTTGCACCACCAGAGGGTCTTTTAAACAATAGGTATCTGTTAGCGCTGGTCAATAGTAGTCCAAATTCAATACAAACATTTGTTTATTGAAAATTTGATCACAATTTAAATACAGTATTTATTTTTAATATTACCAATATGTCATCGAAAAGAAAACGTGTTGTATTATCATTAAAAGACAAATTAAAGTATTTGTTTCGATTATCCGAATTTTTCCTTATCCGGACTACCTTCATTCCCGATTAGTCCAGATAATTGAGGTTCTACTGTACTTGATTACAAAGATTTTTATTATTTTGTTCATTTGTCCAATATATTTTAGTCAATATCACTATTGATAACAATTTAAACTTTTTGTAAACTGGAATATTTTTCATTCATCCAGTTTACTTGTCTTCTTGTCTAAAACTACTATTTCCAAATATCAAAATTCAATTATCATCATATTTAAATACTTATAAGTGTTATATTTGTGATAATTTTCTGTTGTGTTAAAAATAGGATTTATATAAATTTTGCTTTTTTGTTTGAATATGAGATAAGAGTAGTCTGAATTATTTTCAGTTGAATTGTTTTGATTTCAGTTTATATTAATAATACTCCATTTATAAAGCAAAAATAATATAAATAAAATAAACCTTTAACTGTCCAGCAATAAAAATGTTTAATAAAAACGTTTTTAACCGTTTTTAAACGGCCATCTTCAGTTGAACCAATATTAAAAAAGAACACTTTATAGATTTTTAGAAGACGCAAGTCCGATGAATTACGCATGCGCATTTCGGTTTCTGTTTAATTTGTATTTCGTGCGTTCTTTTTTTTAGTGTTCTTTTTTAATATTGGTTCAACTGAAGATGGCCGTTTAAAAACGGTTGAAAACGTTTTTATTAAACATTTTTATTGCTGGATAGTTAAAGGTTTATTTTATTTATATTATTTATTCATTCCAGTATCAATTCTTGTTTTTATAAAGCAAAAAGTAATAAGATTGTCAAAATTGAAGAACAAAAAATTTCAATCAAGGGTTATGAAATTATTTCTATTGGATATTGTTCCTTTCATATATTGTAATAAATTTCAAAATAAATTTGAAACCTTTTTTAAATTTTATTGTTATTCAAGGAATTTCCAGCATTGATGATGATTGAATTGTCTGGGAATTAATTGTTTTTTGTAATTTTTTTTACAGACATATTAATTTTATCTGAAAATATTTAAAATACTTTTATGAATGGTTTACTAAGAAATTTAATTAATTATTAAATCACAATATTATTTTTGTTTTTAGGTATATTCTGTAGTGCAAAATGTTGTGAGATTGGAATTAAAGAGAACAGAAGAAACTGGAATTGAAATAAACATCAATGAAGAATTAATCAAAAGGGGACTTGGTGAAAAAGCAGAAGAGAGTTATAGTTCTAAAGTGAGATTCCAGAGTAAACTAGAATTTTTTTTCTCAAAAAGTTCTATAATTGAAAAATTAGCTTTAAAAGTTACAAATAACAGTTTTAAATAAGGTTAAAAATAGCTTTAACGATAACAACTGCCCTAAAAAATATAAGTTGTGTCACTTTGAAGAAAGTTATTTGATTTTCAGTCCCATAATTTTTTTAAAAAAAAGAGAAAATGATTTTTTTAAGAAATTTCATATTTTCTAATTTATTATTTAATTAGTTGTAAATATAATGGTTTATAATAAATAAGTTTTTTCGTATGTTCAAACTTTCTAAATAAGAAGCTTTTTATTTCATTTCTTTGTTTTTTTTTAGAAAAATCATGAAATGAGAAAGAAATTTAAAAATTCGGTTGTATATGATAGTAATAAAGATGTTGACAAAGATACTGACTTTGTGCATTTTACAATGAATGAAGTAGATCAGATCAATTCTTCTACAAAGCCAACACAGAGAGTAAGTAATCTTAACAATTATGTGAAATATTTCATGAACATGATCAGTTTCTTAATATAAACTTTTACAATTTTTTTTTTTTTTTTTGAAAAAGATTAAACTTAAAACCTTTTAGTATATAGTTACCTTTTCAGATTTGGTTACTATAGTTACTTTTTTCTGTTACATTACTGAAATATTTTGATCAAAACTATTAAACTATAGTATCACTTATGAAAAAATTGCAACAGAAAACAAAAGTTCTGTTTACCTCTCAGTTTTGTTTTCCTATAATGTAGAATGTCTTTCTTCTGGGAGACAGAAATTCAAATAATATCTACTTTTGGTGCCATTAGAATAATGCCAGAATTGTAAAAAGGATGATAGTATTATCAATAGCACGGGTCATATAAAAGCTCATAATCAGCTTCTTTGTCTTACACACTTTTTCAAAATTTAAATTACTTCAAGTTTGTTTTTATTGTAAACAATCAATTTTTCATGCAGTTTGTTTTGCCTGTCATGTTGATATGGTGATACACAACCATTCTTACTTTCTATTGGCTAGTTACTTTATTTCAGCATACAATAAGAGAAAAGCTAAAAAAAATTTTAAACTGTTATTTCTGGACTTTTTCTGTGCTATAGAAGTTGAAAATTTTTCTGTTTCCTATTCCTTAGTACTTTTATAAAGTGAAACCAAGGCTTAATTATAATCAGAATTATTTGTACAGTGATGGCCAGATGGCCAAGACAGTTAAGGCACCAGCCTACCATGTAGGAGTTTTGGAATCAAATCCGGGTGCGTAACCTTAGGAATTTTTGTAGTGGTCCATTTTGTATATATAGGCCTTGCTCCTCACTACCTGAACACTCTGATTGTGGGTCTGGCCAAATCCCACAATGAACATGGAAAAAAAATGGATCTCTTAGTACCAACAGGGTAGTACCAAGAGTCAAAATGAATATACACCGAGTGGCCAAAAAGTTAGAAGCACCCCTTATTTGAAAGTAAATCAGTCCGACAGTGATGGAGAGTGACATAACAATGCAGAGTTGCTTATGTAAGGTATGCTCAGCTTTGGACGATGTAGTTAACATGGAGGTTAATATCAAAATGGGTAAGACAAAAGATTTAAGTGACTTTGAATGAGGGATGATCATCAGTGCAAGAAGAGTTGGTGTCAGCATCTCTCAAATGATGACTCTTTTAGGATTTTTCTCGTCCAACAGTATCTCAGGTGTTTAGAGAGTGACTGGCAGTTGAGAAAAAAACTTCAAGCAATAAGAACAATTCTGGTAAAAAAAAAACTATGAATGAGAGAGGCAAAAGGCGATTAGCACGCATAGTCCACAGCAACAGAAGGGCAACAACATTACAAGTTACAGCTGAATTCAATGTAGGTACATCACAAAGCATATCCCAATGCACAACAAAACACACTTTGCAAAGGATGGGCTTTAGCAGCAGGAGAGCATCAAGAGTGCCTTTTGGTATCACAGAAAAATAGAAAAAGGCACTTGTAGTGGGCCCAGGAACAATGAAATTGGTCACTTGAGGACTTGAAAAAAGTAGCCTGATTTGATGAATCTCGTTTCCTGCTCCATCATGCAGATGGCATAATCAGAATATGGCACAAACAGCATGAATTCATGGACCTCTCCTGCCAAATGACAACTCTTCAGATTGGTGGTGGTGGAATTATGGTGTGGGGAATGTTTTCCTGGAGCACACTGGGTCCCTTGATATTTGTGGACACATCTCTGAATAGAACAGCTTACCTCAACATCATTGCCAATCATGTACACTTATTTATGACTGTAATGTTCCCTGATGGAGATGGTCACTTTCAGCAGGACAATGCACTTTGTCACAATGCTCAATTGGTCTTAAATTGGTTTGAGAAACATTAATCATAGTTTAACCTGCTTCCATGGCCAGCTCAGTCCCCTGACCTCAATCTTACGGAGCATTTGTGGGACGAAGTCAAAAGATCACTTCAAAGCTTGGAAACGTCAACATCCAATCTGACCCAACTTAGAGCTGCCATTATGTTATCATGGGCCAACATTCCTCAGCAATGGTATCAGCAACATGTTGAGTTTCTTATCAAGAAGAATATCGGCTGTGATCAGAGATAAAAGTGGACCAATTCGTTATTAGAGGGTGTGTCTAATTTTTTGGCCACTCAGTGTATATTCATCATTATTGTTAAAAACTCTCTCGCTGTTATGACTTTTTAAAACAAGTTTGTTTTTAGCATATTAAATTTAATTACAGCATCAAATTTTTGATGCATTGCTAATTAAGTTTTATTCCTTTTTATATTATGTATGATGCTATGTATCATAGAAATCAAACATGTGTAATTATTTTTAATTTTTTTATTGAAACCAATGTCTGTAACCATTTATTAAGTTCAAAAATAATGAAATAGAATAGCATTTTTTAATTGTGGACTATTTAAAAAAAATAAAATAAAACAAATGAAATTTAGTGACCATGAGTATGTTTTTAGGTGATTTAAATCAAAGTTTAATTGTTTTAATGTGTTTATTTTCATTGGCAACTTGAGATTCATTGATATTATGCAACTTTCAATTAGTGATACTTTCGTTTTATATTTTTAATAAGAAAATCACACAGTTAGAATAACACCTACAATAATATATTTGTTAGCTTAACAATGTTTGTTTTGAGCTGCATTTTTGACATTTACTATTTGAAGAAACAAAACAAATATTTTCTTTCATTTTAAACAATTGTCTTCAGGTTAGAAGAGAGAGAAGTTATTTTTTGGTGTTTAGACATGTTTATTACTAAATTATACCAGTATTGTTGTTTATTGTACTGTAGTATACTGTATTGAGGAAACTTTAAAACAATATAGTTTTACAAGTTTCTTCAAATAAAGTATTTTAGAACAACATATAGTAGTTTTAGTAATCACTGTTTTATCATAATACATCTTAATCCTTTTGACATAAGAAAAAACTGAATAGCCTTTTCATTCAAATTGTAGTGATTAGATATAGACAATTTTTATTTAAAAGCTTACAATGAAATCTAAAGTTTATTTTCAATGTGACTTCTTGTGACATTTATTCCTTATGTTTTTATTTGTGAACAATATAACTTCAAATATATGAAGTAAAAGCAAAATACATTTTTACAATTAATTAATATTAATATAAAGTGTCAAAATATACATAATGTATTACCCTGTCTCTAACAACATTCCATAATCTGTGAAAATTGTATGTTTGACATAAAACAAAACTTATTTTTATGTTATATATTACATCAAGCTGTTATATTTTCCTGTGGGAAAATGAGTGTTGGAATTTGTTGGCTGACTTGTGAGTTTTGAGTGTTGTCAACATTGGTGTTTATCAATAATTTTAAATTTTATTAAAAATCCCTTACACAAAAATGGATGAAAGAAAATCACATAGTTTTTGTCATTTAAAAATTGAAGCTATTTCAAGTAGTAAACTCAAAAATCTGTTGAAGTTTCTTGAAAACTTTAGATAGCAAGATCAGTGCTATGGGGTTGGTTAATGAAAAAAACATGATATTCTGATTGCATCTGGTAACAGTGTATTAAACTGTAAAAAATGTGCTGTCTTTCCTTTAAACTACTGCTAAATATTGAAATATGGAATCAGCATTGGCTAAGTAGATTAAAGAGGTACAGTTAAAGAATGTAACTTTTAGTGGTAATAATATTTGTGAAGCGGCAAAGCACTCTTACTCCAAAATTACCCAAATGTTGATTCAGCAATGTTTAAGGCATCGAATGAATGATTGATTTTTTTTTTTAAGGCATAAATTGGTGAAACATCAAGTCACTAGTGTGAGACAGAAAGTACCTAATAATGTATCTGACATTTGTACAAACATTTTTAAATGACATGAAGAAATGCTTACTGCATACTGGAATATGAACTTTCAAGTTTTGATGAATCCCTGTTATGGTTTAATTTGCCAGGTCAAATGTCATGGAGTGTTAAATGGCATAGCTGTATAAAAATTTTCACTTTTTTTTATAAACTTTTTGAATGACATATAATGTCCTATTTTGAATAAATCAAGATCTACAGCATTTGTTATATTTATTCACGTGTATGTTAGGCTCAAAGACTGAAATCGCTCATTGAGTGAAAAAATCGGCCACAAAGTGAAATTCACATTGTGGCATTTGTAAAAGTGGTCACAATGCATTGTGGCTAATTCAAAACGACCACAAAGTGAATTTCATGTCATGGCTTTCATGATATTTGACAACTATGTGTTTAGGTTAGGTTACTTCGTTACTTTCCAACAACATGTAATTATTTGTGAAAATTTGTTGCAGTGTGCTCAATATGTCAATGTATTTAACAACTAATTTACTAAAAATAATTACGTTGTCAAGAACTTATTAATAAATCAGTCTTTTTTTATGTGAATCAAGAATGTTTCAGAGTTATTTATTTTTACAGGAACTATACCATGACATTTTCAAGTTGCATTTTATGTTGTTTGAGCAACATTTGCATTTTTTATCAATACAGTATCTTTTACAGTGACACATTACAAACCCTTGCTTACTTCCAGTTGTTAATAATTGGATGCTGAGCAAAGTGTTAATGAGGTTGAGGTTTATGTCCTGAATGTTAATAAAGTTATTCTCAGAAATTGTAAATTCATTACAAGCATAAAGTTGATCAAGAAGACCTTCCTTGTTTCCTAACTGATAGAGACCTGATGGATTAATGCTTGTAACAACAGCTAAAACATTTCTGGGAGCTGCACATTCCCTATCAACATCAGGCACCCTAACTAAAACATTCAAACCAATTTCAACTGCAGAAAATTTGAGTTGGATTGTGAAATCATTTTATGTGCCTGTTTCTCTAGCTGGATTTGGCATATTCTCTCTCAGCATTGATGCTTTTCTTTTTTAAACAGAGTTTGCAAGTAACATTTGCACCAAATCCCTCACTCTCATTGATTTCTAAGCAGATAACATGAACATATTCATGACACTCTGAACACTTGTGAGCTCCTGAGGTTTTATTTTCACAAATAACACAAATTTAAATTTACGTTTTAAGCTTTTTCTAAAATAATATCTTTGTTTGTCAATTGTTGTATGATTTTCTCATCATCTTTCTTCTCTAATACTTCTATGACTTCATTTTTTTCATTTTGTGCTTTCACAACTTCATTTAACTGTTTACCATCATCTTTGTTGTTCTGGTTTTGTTGATGATTTTTGGAGGTAGAAAGAAGTAGTTCTTGTAATTCTTCTTTACTTTCTATGGAAGCGTATATATCACTAGTAATAGATGAATCTGCAAGTCTGATTTTTTGTGGTGATCCAAACATAGCTTCATACGGACTTGTCTTAATCACAGAATGGAGAGAACAGTTCTTTTTACTCTGATTTATTATAATTTGATTTATATAACTACAAAGGTTATCTTACGTAAGAGTTTATCACACCAAGTGACCAATGTAATACATTTTAAAAATTCTTTATTCCTCTACTGTACACAATTTAAAGAATTTTTAGATTGGTCACTTGGTGTGATAAACTCTTACGTAAGATAACCTTTGTAGTTATATAAATTAAATACTATAATATAATATAGAAGGGTTAAAAGTATGAAATAATCAAATAATTATAATGTTTGTTATTTATTGCCTGGGCAACACTGGCTTACCTGTTAGTTAATGTACAGTACATATAAGAATTTCACATTAAACAAAAACAAAAACATTTTCATTTTTATAGAAGTAATCATATATATTATATTCTAAATCTAATGTTTATTTCAGATATTGTTGAATGGTCCATCTAGTGCACTTGAAACATCTTATTTAGGAATGACTTACTTAAGTAGATCCAGGTAACTGTTATGTTTGTATTTATGTATTTGGTTTTAAATTTTAGTTGTTTTTTTAATTATAGATATTCTAACTTATTTTGACCTTAATTTCTAGTTATGTATTTTAATAATAATTATTCTAGACGTGTGCGAATTGACCGAGATAGCGTTAATTCAGTTATCCTTGATTCCGAACCTCAAGACAAACATTCCAGATTGTTAGTTTCTTCTTATGTTGGCTTAAGTGCAGATGGTTCAGCAATCAATGCAAGAAATACCACTTTAATGCCTAATACTCATGGCTTACCAGCATTAGTTGCTCTAACATTTGCACCATATGCAGAATTCAGGTAAGATTTATTCATATTAAATTATTCTGTGTTATAAAATTTTTAATGTAAAATATTAATTTACAGGCTTTTAATGGAAGATTCTAAACATCAATAAGAATAGTATTTCAATTTTAAAAATATTTTGAAAACTTTACTACAGGAACATGATTTTGAAGATATTTGTTATCATATTGATACTGATGCTCAGAATCTTTCCATTATAAGCTCTGAAGATAAGTTAGTGAACTAGAAAACATTTGAGCAACTGTTTTTGTTATAGCAGTTTTTAAATAGAATCTATATAAAGTTTATTTTTGATTTTGTTTCTCATTATTTATATAGTTTTAATTATCAGGATAGTACTTTTCTAATTATTCTAACTTGTATCAAACTTAAAATAAACATATCTTCAGTCTATTCTTATGTTGGTTTTTGCATTTGTATCATTATTTTTTTTGTCCTTAAATAATCATTATTATTGCTGTTGTGACTCCACAGTAAATTATAATCTGTAGCAACAAACATTTTTGATTTATGACTTAGAAAAACATAGGCATTCAGTATTTTCATAGTTTGTTCTAATGTTTTAAAAATATATCATTTAAAGATGTCTTCTTGTTTATTACTTTAAAGAATCTGTTAGGATGATGATTTTGAATATGTGAGTTGTATTATTTTCTTTATTTCATACATGTAACTCTTGAGACTAAAAAAAAAATTAATTTAACTTATAATTCAGCAACAAATATATTTTTATTTTGTGTTATTCTTTGTTTGTTATCTAATGTTTGTTTGAAGGCTTCTTCAATATTATTATTATACAGTATTTAGTAAGTTATACTTATGGTGACCATATTTTTTTTTGGAAAATAAAGGACACATCAAAGAAAATAAAAAAATACTTTATAAAATTCATAAGTTTATAACATTTATTATGAAAATAGTAGCATACAACAATGCATACATTAAAATTTTAAACAATCAGAATTATTACACATACAGTATACACACATTGTAAAAATTTAAATAACGTTAATTTTGAAACTTTTCAGTAGAATTAATTTTTTTAATAGCGCTGGTTCACGCTTTAAAAAGTCATAAAATTCCATACAGTTCATTTGAAAGTTGTATTTGATGGAAATACATGCTTCTAATGTGCGTACTTTTAAATGGGTTTTTTCATTTGTCCACATATTATTTACCAATGAAAATATTCGTTTGACAGGGGCATTAGATCCAGGGAGACACACAGAAAATTCTATGATTTTACAAATGTTTTTGAAAGCAATTTCTTTTGCTGTAAAATGTTCAAAAATCTCAACCCACTTTTGATGGCATGGCTTGTTATTCTGTCGCCATTTGTCAATTTTTTAATTTTTTTGAATCAATTTGAATTTACAATTTCTGAAAATGTGTTTTTTTACATTTTCATTCATTATTTATTGTACATGTAAATATACATAAATACATTCCGGCCCTGCAAACAGCATTACTGGCAAAAATTCCAATATATATTAGTGAAATATTGAGGCTTGGTTATGAATAAATAATAACCATTCCTCTGCTAATGTTTCATTGAAAAAGTTTTTCAGAATTGTGAGACATTTTTCCAGATTCAAAAAGTATGATTTTAATGGATTAAATAGCTGTAAAATTCTGTAAAGCTGGTAAAATAGTTAGCCAGCATGTTTTGCTGTAACCAAGAAGCTTTTTATACCTCTGTGTCATCACAAAATTCTTTGAGACCTTCTATTCATATTGTGTAAATATAGAAATGTGAATAAATTTTTGCTAATATCACTTCAATATCTATCAGAAGACAATCTACAGCAGTGCTTATGCAATTGTTCAATATGTGGGAAGCACAATTAACTCCTATCAATTTATGTTTACTTGAATATTGCATTTTAAATAAAACATTATTCTTCCTTTTCTCTGGGAACCACCAAAATTGCTTTTGGTATTGTCAGCACACAAAGTGAGTCATTTATTAGTAATTTCAAATTTTGACAGTGATTCCTTGATGGAATTTGTTAATATATCTGAAGTTTCTCCAGAAAGATTATTTATATTCAAAACTTTTACTCTGACACTGCAATTGGGTAAAAAATATCTGACCAGAATTGTGCACAATTTAGTATTACCATTATTCGAACAATACAAATAAATAGTTATATAATTTGTTTTGCTTAAGTCAGTTTTAATTGATTCAAAAGAATATGGTGTGAAAACATTACAAATGATTGCTTATGTTTTCATTCTTGCACAAGAATATTTTTCCTCAAAACATTTCTTAATTTAGAAGAGCAGTCATTTGATTGAAATGAATAGTTATGTTGTATTGAGTGATAACACCAAGATGCTTCTTTTAGTGCTATAGCCTTTAGGTTGTCATTGGAATTTTTATTAATGAAAAATGAGTAATGATTTGTTTGTTGAAGCCTGGATGTCCACTTCTTTGTGTTTTGCTGTCTGAATATGTTGTATAATTTCTGATCTGCCACTATTTACAATGTTAAAGCTGGCTAAACATTTGTTGCATTTGGCATCACTATCCATTATTCCCTTTTTAATAAATGGAAATTCTTCTTGTAATGTTTGATTAAAAATGCATTTACTTTTTGGTGCTATGATAAATGGTCTACAAAATATAAATTAAATAATACCTAAATATGAAAAATTAGAAATAATACACTAAAAACTCACATGCAATCCCTGTGTAACTAATTAACGTTGTGTAAAAGTGTAGTAACTGATGCGAGGTCCACGTGTGTACTGCCCAGAAAAAAGGAGTATACTGTGAAGAGGAGGGACAGTCAACAATAAAAATGTCACATGCTCGAGCCCCCGAAGTTTGCCAACAAGTGGCAACGAATGCTCACCAATGCTCCAAGTGTATCAACCACCAACTAGAGAGTTAAAAAACTATCACAAAAATTCCCATAACAGTGTCCACTCCCTGGTACTGTCAATGGGCTGTTCATTTTGCGACACACTGCACTATCGCGCTCTATGTAGCAATGCACGACACGATGACAACACTGGTCGTGATAGCATACATGAAACTAACTTGTTCAATATATTATTAAAAAAATTTTTTTAAACTTTGTGTCAACTGTACAAAAAAATGGACAAAATGCCTATTTTAGAAAATAAATAAAGTTAAAGGACAGAGCAGTGAAATAAAGGACTGTCATCTTAAATAAAGGATGTATGGTCACTGTAGTTTTACTTGGTTGATACCAGTGGCTGTATACTATGCCAGACCAGAGTCAAAACATAGCAACCAAAAACAAAAATTAAATAAGTGTGTCAGTGTCTGTATTCAGGAATTACCTAACAATGTGGCATGTATTCAATATAGTGGCCTTCTGTAGCCTTCTGATGTATGTATTTCTATTTAATTGTAATGTTCCCAGGCTTTTGTGTAGTGTATGTGGTATCACATCTGTATAGGAGAGAACAACAGGTACAATAAGCACCCTATCCATCCTCCACAGATGCCTTATTTCCTGGGCGAGTTCTGTGTACTTGCTAATTTTTTCAGTGCATGTGTTTTGTACATTGTGAGTGTTTGGAATGGCTATGTCTATAATGTATGTGATTTTATTGTGTTTGTCAATGAGTGTGATGTCTGGTCTGTTGTAAATTGTTTTATCTGTGATTACAGCTCTGTCATAGTACATTTTGTGCGTGTTGTTTTCCAATACAGTCTGTGGAATGTATCTGTAGTATGGTTTGTGGATGTCTACCAATTTGTGTTTGTTTGCATGCTCTTGGTACATTATATTTGTTACTTGATTCTGTATATGTAAATAATCTGTCTGTGCCAAGAGCTTGCAACCAGAAGTGATGTGTTGTATAGTTTCTGGCATGATGTGACATTTTCTGCATGTGTCATTTGTGAGTGTTGTATCTTTGAGTATGTGTTTTCTGTAGTTTTTAGTATTTATGACCTGATCCTGAATGGCAATCATGAATTTTTCCGTCTCCCCAAAGAGGCATCCCCGATCTAACCAGCTGTTTGACGCAGTTTTGTCAGCATAATCCTGGGCCAGGTCATAAGGATGCCTGCCATGGAGTGTCTTTCGAGCCCACGATTGCTTAATGGTGTCTATGCTTTTTATGTGTTGTGTCATGTCTGTATGATGTGAGTGTAAGTTTAATGGTGTGCTATTTGAGTCTGCTAGAGTTACTGCTTTATGTAATTGTGATGTTTCTTGTTTCCTGTAGAAAAACTCTCGCAGTGACTGTATTTGTTTGTAGTGATGGTTAACTATGTCAATCAGGCCACGTCTGCCATCTTTACGTGGAAGGGTTAATCTTTCTGTGGTGGATTTAGGATGATGATGTTTATGTTTAGTAAGTGTTGTTCTTGGTTTCCTTTGGAGTTGCTGAAGATCTGTGCGAGTCCAATGTATAATGCCAAAAGAGTATGTGAGTACTGGGACGACATATGTGTGTATTGCTTTAACTGTGTGTTTTGCATTTAACTGTGTTCTGAGGATAGCGTTTAACCTACTTTGATATTCTTTAATTAATCTTTGCTTTATTTGTGTATGTTCTGTTAGTTTGGCCTGTTGGAATCCTAAATACTTGTAGAACTCGCCTGTTTCCATGGATTCAATAATGTCCCATTTCCAAGTGCAAAATCTTCTTTCTTCAGGATTCCTTTTTCTATGTGAAGTGTTTTGCATTTGTCTAAGCCAAACTCCATTTGTATGTCCTTGGTGTATGAATGTGTGATTTGTAGAAGCTGCTGAAGTTGTTTCTGTGTGGATACATAAAGTTTTATATCATCTATGTACATGAGATGTGACAGCATAAACTGTGTTGTTTTTCATGTCTGATATTGTAGTTATATTGTGTGTTGTTTAACATGTTGGATAATGGATTCAGGGCTAGGCAGAACCAGAGAGGACTCAAGGNACTGTGTTGTTTTTCATGTCTGATATTGTAGTTATATTGTGTGTTGTTTAACATGTTGGATAATGGGTTCAGGGCTAGACAGAACCAGA